TCTACCTACCTGCCTAGACTTCTTTCCTGGCTATCTTCCTTGCATCCCGCCCTCAACCCCTGTCCACGACTCAGAGACACCAATTATCATACCATGTGACAATATAAACAAACTTTTACAGCTACTGTGTTAGCATAAAAGCTGTGGTAAACAGCATGCAGGCTAGGCAGTCCGGCCTTGATAACTGGAACTGGGTTAAAATGTTTTTAATGGCCAAACTCTCACCTCGCTGCCTGTCTTAAAAAGCTGTTGTTACCAATGTGGCTTGTACAATTACGTGTGTGCTGATACTAAATATACAGGGCCTATGATTATTATCTAACACAACTTGGCTTACCACTACATGCTGGCCTGTGTTGGTTTCTTTTCTCCTGGCACAAAGTAGATACTTATTATTTATTAGCTGCTATTATTAATTAAGGTGGGGTTTTGGTTTGGCACTAAATGAATTATCAGAGAGACAGAAACAGAAAGCCGAAGGGAGCCTAGGGAGGGAGGGAGAGAGAAATAGATAGAATACTACTGAATGTACATTGTAATGTAGAAGTGATTCCTCACCTGATACTTCCCATGCCTTTAGTTGGGGTAGGTCTTTCTTCTGGTCCAGTAAGTGTTTCTTGAAATCATCCAATTGACTACCAAGAGCTCCATATCTCTCCCTTCACAAAAAGAGAGGAAGAGAATAAAATGAATCATACCATCCAAAGCATTATTGATCCTAGAATTGCAGGCAGACATTCCACTTTCTGCTGGTACTAAACTGTTCTTACATGTACATGTAGCAGTTACTAATAATAATGGCAACAAGTGTCTATGCTAGCTATTAACAAGAGGCAATACAGTGTACCTCTACTAAAGTTTTACCTGCAAACAACAAAGACAAGTACTACAAAATAAGATACTAGTAGCAGCCCTGAAAAGTACTGACAGTCCTCCTGTCAGTAAACATGTGTTTGGTTCTTGAACTTCTTGTGGTTTAAACATGTACATGTGCTTTTGGTTGGTGTGGTTTGTGGTTTACATGAATGCTGACCATGCAATTTTGTGCAAAAAAAGTAATGGAATGCATTTTTGACGTTAACTTAAGTTTATCAAGAGTACACAATACCTAAACCTTTAGGTACACTTGCCTAAGGCTATAGCCTAATGACTAGATTATGTCAAAATTGAATTAACATTCTAATTAAAACATATTTTTTAAATGTTCGTATTTGTAAAAAAACTAATATCATAATATCTCATTAACACTAAAAACAGATAGCTATTATATATATTTCTTGATACAGACATGTACATGTTCTGATGTTGCATAAAAGTTTGAGCTCATTCCAATTAAAATTGGATTTTTTATAAATTTTTAAAATTGCTACAATTTGTCAAAACATAAAAGGACAAACATGTACATGTACATACACTGACTGTGTGTCCTAACCTTGTTGTATTGGTACCAAACACACAGCTGTACGAGAGACCAGAGGAGGTGGGGGAGGGGCAGGATGACGAGCGGAATAACATACCTCAAGATACTTTGAGTCTCTGGGAATGTGTTGGGTAAATGAAACACATATTTTCTATCAACACTCTAAATAGTGAGAGACATGGAGATAAAGGATTACATGTACATATACATATGTATATTTACTTTTGATGTACATTTTATAATTTGATGATTATCAGCAAAGCTCTCATTAAACTCCTAAAATACAATAAAAACAATGAGATGTAATAATTTTAATTGGTTCATTTGTTTAAATGCAGGACATGACTCAAAAAATTTTAGTTTGAATTGGCTTTAACATTTTAATGGTAAGTTTTGGTAACAAAAATTGGGAATAATTTCAAAGCCATTTTTTGAAAAAAGCATGGATTTTAGGTACAGGGAGAGCTGCCAATAGGCTATGTGGGGCCCAGGACAAAAACTTTGATGGGGCCCCTACAGGTACGGGTACAGGACATAGTCGTACATGTATTTCATGCACAACTTGACAAAAAATTATGTACTAGTATACATATACA